GCGTGTGTGATCTTCTTTGTTTACATCCACGGGAAGTAAGAAAAAGTTTTTCCACTTCGCTCTCCCCTCAAGGCAAAAGCATGCTAAACGACAACGGAGCAGGGAAGGGCAGTATAGTAGTTTCTTTTCGCATGGAACCCGTGGAACCTTGATCAACTTTTGCATGGGGAAGACAGAAAGCCATCGACCTACTTACTTGCCCTATATACTGACCTTTATTGGATTTTCCTTGCTTTTTCGACGGATAATTCGACAAATATGCAAGTAATGCTTTACTTGTTGGTGCTGTTTAGCTTGTTCTGGACTGCGTATGACGGTGTACGGATTCGTCTGCCCTTCTTTTGAGATTTCTGATGTTGACGTTTGAGGATAAGGTTGATAAGCGATAGTTTCCATAGCAACAGCCTTAAAAGCTGACTCAGCATGGACACGTCAAGGCATAAAGTCTAAACCCGGTCAATATCAGGAGGCGCTCAGGGGTTTCTAGATGTAGATGTTCAAAGAAGTGGAACGACGGACGATGCTATGCCATTAAAATGATGTACGCTATGCTATCAAATAAGGATATAAGTATGATACATGCTCTCTTCTTGAAGAATAAAAAAGGGGTACATAAAATACAATCGCCTATGCTTCCAAAGATTATATGGTAGATGTCATAAATATCAAAATTGAAGAAAATAAATAAGAAATGATTCCATCAATCTTTGTGCACGGTATAATATAGTCGACAAAGAATTAAGTGAAAGAGTCCCCTTCCGCCTGTTCGGCGTCCGATTCAGACTCGTGTTTCACCTCCACGCTCTTGATAGGGCGTTTTCTCAGGCTAAGCTCCGGATCGCTCATAGTTGCGGGACTGCCGGTCTCGGACGCAGCGAGACCACTTTGCGGCTCAGAGGAGAAGCGCAATTTTCGAGTTCGCTCTGGAGTCGTGGTCCTGGAAGTTGGAGTAGGCGGGGAATATGTAAAGGTAGGATTTCCGACTTCATAATCTGTTTGTTCAGAGGGACTGCGGTGGTGTCGTGAGTGGTTGTGATGCAGGTTGTCATCGTCTGCTTCACTTCGGCTCAGTATTGACGATCCCATCCTGCTCATGGGCGGTGGGCTAGGACTGGCAGATGGCGCTGGTGAGCCGTAGGTGACTGAAGAAGAGCGGAAGCTGCGCGTGCGAGTGACGATGTTACGTGGAAATTCCAAGTACGGTGTGCCCGAGCTGCGGGAGAATAGCACCAGGCCGAAACAGACCAGGACAAAGATGCTTTGGATGACGGCAACTCGTTTTTGAAACACGAGTTCGTCCGCAAGAACACCGAGTTGGGTAGCAACTGAATACACCTCTCGATGGTACTGTTGGCGCTGCTGCTCGAATTCTATAAAGACAGAGTGCCAGAGATGGTCATATTGTTGACGGAACTCCTTCAGCTCCTGCAGAACGGTAGAGTTAAGGTTCTCTAAAAAGGTAGATGTTTTTGCCAATTGGCGTTTCTCGACCTTGTTGAAGGCATCACGGAGGATGCGTGATTGCTCCTCGATATAAAGGAGGGAAAGGGTGGAGTTTGACTCCAGCATTTGCAGTCTTTTGTTGACTGATTTAAAGAAGGATTCTTGGGTGGATGGGTTGGGTGGTGGTGAGGCAGGAGAAGGGGAGTATGTCGCTGAGTTCATCCTAGTTGGCTCCGTATGTGACCCATTAGCCGCGATAGATGAACCCGTAGAACTACGGCGAGTCTCTTCTCTATCAGACGTCGTGGGTGTACGAGTAGAAGAGACTGAACGTATCTGCTCTGGGGTATTGGTAGAGGTGATAGAGCCGCTGGCTGGAGCAGCAGCCTCGTCTTTCACCCTAGTAGCCGTCACAGGCTGACTTGCAATATGAGCCGCGCGTTCCTGGATGGCACACATCTTACTGGATACCAGTCCGAGTAAGATGCTCTCTGTCTCGTTTCTCTCCACGAAACATCTAAGCTCATCCAGTTCACGATCAGATAGATTAGAGAGTGGAACCATTTGGTCGTTAATAACCACCTCAGGAACGGAAACGTCTGGATGCACAACTACATCGGCCTCTTTCTGCTCCAGCTGCTGTTGCTGTTCGTCTTGTTGCCGCTGCTGCTCCGCTTCTTCCTGTGCATTCGCATCCTCCTCTTCATCTGCCCTCGCAGCTTCACCATCATTCTTATACTCTTCCATCATGGTGGTTCCATGCACCCTGACCAAACTAACTGGACAATAGAACTCGTTCCCGTAATGGGACAAGAAGTCGATCTTCAAGTATCTAGCCCATATAAGCGGATTCTCCACCGCAAAGGCCTGCACCTGTCTAGCATTAGCAGCCTCATAAGTGCCCAACACCCGCCATTTGTCAGCCTTGATCGGATACCGATCAGAAACACTGACTCTAAACGATCGAAAGATGGAGCTAAAGAATTCATAGTTGGCCAACACCACGGTGTCAACGAGAATATCATCACATAACTCCATAATGAGGAATTTATCCTTGGCCCTGCACTCGTTCAGCATGTAGCTGTCTTTGTTCTCGTTAAGCACGGCTGAAGAACCGGTGCATTGGGGGTTTGTTTTCAGGACTGTAGCGGCGCAGTCGAAAGATGCATAGTTGAAGCGTTCCTTGCATGTTGTTCCTGCATGTTTCCGTCGACCAATCCCCTTGCGTGGCATATTCTCAGCATCCTGGCCGTCGAGCTCGAAGATCGGCTGGGAAGGATGCTTGTCTTCCTTACCCCCGACAATAGCACCACCGGGGGCAGTGACAGAGTCTATATTATCAGGTGAGGCCCTTCCACCATCTTTCCTCTCCCATGAAGCAACGCCAGATTCGTCTGTAGAAAAACCACCGAATTCAAGGTCGATTTCCGACTCTTCTCCCAGCCCATCTAGCGGATCGTTCATCTGCGGTGACCGCGTATGTCGTCTTCTAGCTTGTTGTCCTTTATCCTGCCGATGCCTCCTCATGGTCTCAGCCGATTGTCCTGCCTTCGCAAAATTTTGATTCTTCCATTCTTCAAAGGAGAGGAAGTTGGAATTATCCAGCGGAGACTCCACGTCTGCATCGTCTCCGTTACCGCTACTCCCGGTTTCTTTTGAACTTGAAGAATCAGACGAAGCAGTGCCTGGAACCGGAACCGTGACTGAGCCTGATGTATCCTTCGAATCGGCATATATACCACTCGCAGACCTAGTTGTAGACGGCCCCTCGCTTCCCGTTGTTGCAGACGCCGCTGCTGATGCTGATGCTGATGCTGCTGCGTTCCACCTAGTCTCCAAACATATCGGATACCGAATATATTCTGCTCCCAAGTCACTCACACGCGCCTGGCAGATGGTATTCGACTTATCCACGGCCATCAACCGCGATGAATCCACTGATTCCGCCGCCGCATGGCTAGGAGCAGAACACACTGCCAAAAACGCCAGGAAAGCCGACGTTATTCGGTCCGTACGCGGGCGCCGCTTCCGCCCATGTGGCGAAAGATGCCCATCCATCGCGTCGTGCGGTGTGTTGCGGTGTGGTGTGCGAGGTATGAGGACAGTCCTGCTCTCCTCTAAACAACTCTGCGAAATCGAGGGGATGTAACGTAGATTCGTATCTGTGCACCGAAATAACTAGTTAAATGAAATGCGTATATGTTTTTGTTCCCGCGTCCTGCCTGAAAATCAATCAATCATGCCTGGTAGTGAGAGACCGACAGTTGGGCCGTTCGTTAGCTGCATCTGTCCAGCGCATACTGCTCCGTCATCCCGCATATACGTACAGACATGGCTCACGTCAACCCACCAACAACCATCGTGTTCACCATTAACTTGTCCCAGTTCTCGGGTCGAGGTGGCGGTAACAGAAGCAGCTCACGCTCGCGCATGACAGCCAGATGAGCAAGGGAGATGTCCAGGAAAGGGAGGAAATTTTTCCCTTTGACCCCTGTGCCGTGCCTGTGCCGGGCCGTCTCTGGGTTGATCTGGTGGCCATAGACGTAAGGCGGATATTGGTCGTGCGTTTCCCGTGCGAGCTACTGGGCTGAGCTCGAACTGGACTGAACTGTCGGTGTGCGAAAAGAAAATATATCGACGGGATCAGACAACTGAGTAGTGAGCGACTGGCGTGCGGTGATTAACTGGCTGATGTCGGCGTAGTCATGCATATCTGGCCTGATGCCCTCGTCGGTTGGGTTGGCGGGCGAAAGTGAAAAAAAAAAATTAAGCTTGCCTGGAGCCGCGGTTGCTAATTATAGGACGCCGAACCCCGTGGCCGGTGCTGGCATTGACATTGACATTGACATCTACATCTACTGAAACTACGACAGAAGAACCTACTTGGACTACAAAGGGCGAGACGAGGAGAGACAATGATATCCAGCCATGGAAAGGTCTTTCATTCAATCAATCAGTCAATCAATCAATTTTATTTTATCAGCCTTCCCATCCATCAAATCCATCCATCCAAACCGACCATCCAAACCAGCCAAAAGGCAAAGCACCAACCAAAGTAAACTGAACCATCCAGATATTCGCCAAAGAAGTAACACAGAAAACACCACGTCCTATCCTCATCTTGCTTCCCAACAGATTCTAAGATAGATAGTACATTCGCCTTCGCCACCTTCATCTTCCTCTTTTTCTTTTTCTTTTCTTTTTCCGTAGAACAGAAAGTAGAACAGAGACGGAAATTAAACGGGGTAGAATAGGAAATGGAAATAGAACGATTTTGTCGTGCTGGTAGGGAAAAGGGGTAAGGTAGTAAGTAGGGTAGTTTGTTGTTGCTTTTCTTTTCGGGTGGATGATATTAGCGGTGCATGTTCGTATGGACGTATGGTATGAATGTAAGGACAGATGGATAAGGAAGGACGAAAAAAAAAAAATTAAAGAAAAGACCAAGGATTAAAAAGAACCAAAGATAGTGAAAGTTGGAATTTTTTTTTTTTTGTTCTCTTTCTTTCTTTTCCATGGTTTGCTTGCTTTCAACAACCTCCTGCAAAGCAAAAGCCTAGTTAAGTTCCCTTCCACTCCTTCCTGCCTCCCCCACTGCATCCTCCAACGCGAAGGATGGTAGAGGGAGAGAAGGGAGAAGTGGCTGCCGGCGCAAAGTCGAATGCACCGACACGAACCTTCGTCTTTTTCTTTCTCACATGTAGAGAGCGGTGTGGGTGTGGGGTATGAGGGTGGGTACAAACACAGAAGCTCGCTGTGAAAGCAGACCCGGGTGAAGGACCGTCATATCCCTTCTCAAGATGACTTGCGTCGAGGGCCTGAGTTATGATATATGATTTAATAAAAGGAATAATGAAAAAAAAGTAAAAGGAAAAATAGTAGCGATGTGCAAAGTGATGTGTTCGTGGATGGACAAGAGTTGAGAGAAACAAATTATATAGTGTAAAAGGTACGAGTGATCTGCAAGAAGAACTGGGATGGGAGAAGAAATGAAGATGTTTGTCAACAAACGCCGCAAGGAAAAACGTAGTAGTGGTATATCCCCCCTTTCGAGAAAAAAGAAAACAAAGTCTTTCAATGTTCAGCACCGCTTCGAAAGGGGAGTTTGTTGCTCCGCCGGGCCGACCCATATTCTGTTGGTAACAATAACAAGGCAAGTTATATAGTACAGAGGTTGATTGTTGGTGGCGATGGTCCCAAGTTAAGTTCTGTTCCGCCCATGTGGAGTCCCGGCTGGGCGGACGGTGATCGCCATGAATGTTTCGGTCCTGCGACGCCCGGGTTGGGGAAAAATGGGAGTATTTCAAAAGGTCGAGAGGGAATATCAAACGCACCGCAGCGAAGTCGACAGGGTAAATAGGTAATAAGGAATGCAGACCAGACCGTTGAGTTATGGATTGTAAAAGTGCGCGTAAGGTTGAAAATAGAGCTGAGAAGAGGTATAATAAGACAACAAAGGCTCGCTAAAAACTCCGATAGGATCCCCAATATAAAAGAAACAGAAGTGTAAAATAGATTATTCAGGCTGTAGAATTGAAGTGTCGTTGCGTCATCTTGAGAGGGATGGGGCGTCAGGTATATAAGTGGTTGAAGTGGAGAGTATATTTGCTTGTCGTGAGATGGAAAAAACCAAGGGAGATAAGGGAAGCAACTAGGCTTTCCAAGGAGGATGGAGAAACTACGGGTGTAGATCCTGCCACCCGCCGACAAAGTCGAATTCGTCATCAATGGCCGCCGGGGAGTAAATTGGGATGTGGGGATAATGCTGGCTTCTCTTTGGTTTGATCGTCTGGTCCTTGTCGCGACGCCAATCCTTGCTGAGCATGTATGGCTGGACGATGGGCTGTTGCTGGTGACCGTTGTGGCCACGGCTGTCCTTTGACTGGAACTTCTTCTTGGTCCAGGTGCCGTGGTCGTACTGTGGTTCCTTGCGCCAGCTGGGAGCCTTGGACTTGGGGGTCGAAGCAGCACGGTAATCCTTTTCAGGCGTGTGGTTCATGCGCTTCTTGCCAAGGGCAGCCCATTTGTCCAGGATGTTGTTCTTGGAGGGTGAGTGACGACCGTGAGGGACAGGGGTGTTGCTGCCATCTCTAAGAACACTGCGTGGCTTGGATGGTGTAACGGGAGTAACGGCAATGTTCTTCTTCTTCTCGTCCTTGACGATGGGAATTGGCTGAACATTGAGCATGGACGACGGCTCCTCGATTTCAGACAGTCCAAGACCGGCAACGTCTGGGGTGTTGCTCTCCTTGCTCCAGGTACGGGAGTTCTGGGCCTGGCGGTTGCGCAGACGGGCCTCTTCGAGCTCGGACTCCTCCTCGTCCCAAAGGTCACTCCAGCTCTTGGACACTTGGTCAGAGCCACCCTTGCCAAAGACAAGGGACATGGATGGAATGGGGCGAGCTGCCGAGGTAGGCAGAGACTCGCTGATGGGAGCTGGACGAGGAGCGTTGCGTAAGGCGGATTGGCGGGCCTTGATCGACTTGAAGGAGGCACCCAAGCTTGAATCCAGAGTAGAACCAATGGATGGGGAAATAGCGTGAGTCGAGTACCATGAAGTACCATCCACCTCCGATGCCGGGAAGAGATCCTCACTGTAGCTCTCGGTGTCTGGGATGACGGAGAGGCGACGACCACCTTGCTGCTGAGGGGAGACCTGGAGAGCCTTTGCCCATGGGAAGGATTCTCCCTGGTTGACCTGCGGCGTCTGGATGGACGGGGTGCGGAGAGGCTCACGGTAAGCACTGGCAGCAACGACGTCACGATCCTCGGTGCAGAAGTCATCGAGAGACTCCTCATCGGTGGTGAAAGTGACGGCACGCATGATGGCCTCTCTCATACCGGCAAGCGATCTCTTCTCTGGGTTGAGGGCGATGGAGTGTCTGAGCACCTCAAAGGTATCCTGAGACATGTTCGGGAAGACGTCAAAGAGCGATTGTCGGTCACGGGAGTAGTCTGCGAAGAGAATATCCGACTCCGTTGGGGTGACAAAGGGGTTCTTTGCAAAGAGGATGTTGAGCAGACAGATACCGATGGACCAGATGTCAGCTTTGGCAGGGGAGTAGCCCGCCGCGGTGGGCTCGTACTGCTCCGGAGCCATGTAGCGGTCGCTACCGACACAGGCCTCAAAGGACCAGGGGCTGCTCGTGGCCAAGCCAAAGTCACCAAGCTTCATGGAGCCATCCTGGCAGAGGAAGATGTTCTCTGGCTTGATGTCTCTGTGGTAGAGACCCTTGGAGTGCATGAACTCGACGCCGTCGATGAGCTGGAGCATGAAGTCACGTACGTGTTCAGTCTCGAGTGGCCCACGGCTGTTGCGGATGGCCTCGTACAAGTCACCCATGGAGCAGTACTCGAGGACCAGGAAGATGTGGGACTGAGTCTCGAAGCTGCTGACGAGGTTGACGAGGTTTGGGTGCTGTCCGAGTTTCATGTGGCACTGCATCTCCTCTGAGCGGTCGTCGACGGAGAGGGGAGAGGACGGGTCCGCAGACGAGGGCTTGGTGAGGCACTTGATGGCTACCTGCTCCCCGGTGAGGGCGTCATTTGCAAGGAAGACCATGCCAAAGGATCCATGGTTAAGCGGAGCAACTGTCTCGAAACGTCCGTCGAGGAGTTTCCCCTGGATAAACTTGTCCCGCAAGCAATCCATGATAAGTAGCTGGACTTTGTGGAGAGGGGAAACCTGACGGAAAGGAGAGCCAAAGAAGCACAGGTCCTATGACCGAACAAACGCAGACAAAGCAAAGCAAAGAAAAAGGAAAAGGAAAAAAAGAACAAGAGTGGTGTGTTGTCGTTGATCAGGCTGTCATATAAATGTTGATTTGAGAAGATGGACCGTGAAAAAAAAAGATTGGTAAAAAGGTTAAGGAAACACAAGGAAATCGGTTCGCCGTCCGCGAGAAAAAACTGAGATTGCACCCAAGGCACCTCGTTTGGTTGATGCTGGTTGAACGAAGAAAGAAAAAAGAGAGAGAGCTGGTAGAGATCGTTATGACTGCATTTGAACGTTGTGTCCGAGGTAAGAAAACGAAGGCTGTTCGTTTAACGTCGGTGTAAATGAGTCGGTTTGTAGTTGTTTTTTTTGTTGCCAAAATGATAGCCAGTAAGGAGAAGTAAATGAAAGATGCCGGTAATGAAAAAGTTCGAAAAGAAGGGAAAGAAAAGAATTGAACGCTTCGTTGCAAGGTCGTGAGCTGAGAGGGAAAGACGAGAAGAAGGAAGAAGGAAGTGGAGGAAGGAAGGGCGAGACGAGTATTATCGCTTGAATAGAGTGACTATGAGACCAAGGCGTGCCTGCAGAGGGGTCGAAGATGAGGTCAAGATGAGGGTCACGTTTGAGATAGAGGAGCCAGAGTCGTGGAGCAGGCTCGGCCTTGATGACGAGTCACAAAATTCAGCGATAATAGACGGCAGCTTCCCCCGGAGTCGATCAACGTGGCAGGCAGTTCGACGTGTCTGATCAAGAGAGCAGCGAGCAGCGAGAGCTTGTCAAGGTGGTCCGGACAAAGCTATCAGAGCTGTCTGGCAGAGCAACTGGGTTCGCGAGAGTGGATTGTTGAGAGGGTCCCGAGATGTTGCGAGTTGGCGAGTTGAAGTAGCAGTCAGTCCTCCTGCGGTAGATGACTTGACGGGTTGACTCAGAGCCGACGAGAGACGGTCATGCTATGAGAGGTGGCGAGCAAGCAGACGCTAGTCGTAGTCTTTATCGGTATTCGACTGTCTCAAGTGTACTCTGGAGCCGCAGTAGTAGTAGTGGTGGTGGTGGTGGTCGAGGTGAGTCAACGTCAGTCAACGGCAGCAGCTGTGACTCGAGTACAGTCCAAGAGGCGAAGTCGAGGAGAGAGTCCAAGGTGAAGGCGAGGTCGAGACGAGAAGAGAAAGGGAGTCGGCGGTAGATGATGGTGGTGACGGCGGGGCGAAGGAAGAAGAAGAAGAAGAGATGAAGTCGAGGGTGAAGGCGAAAGGTGAAGGTGAGGTCGAAGGTCGGAGGTTGAGATGAGATGAGATGACGAAGAGGCGGACGAGCAGGAGAAGAAGAAGAAGAAGAAGAAAGAGGAAGATCGGAGAAAGGAGGGCGGGTGACTAAGCAGGGGAAAAAAGCAAGGAGGTGGGAAGAAGCAACGAAGAGGCCGTGGAAAGAAGGGGGAGCAAGAGGGCGGTGAGGGAGGGGACGGGCGGCAAGGGGGTGACAGGGTGGTACTTTGGAGCGCTAAGACGGCTGGGTGGCAGAACAGGTACCGCGCGGTAGTGAGGGCGTGGCAGCAAGGGGCGGCAGTGGCAGTAAGGTGGGTGTCTTAGGTAAGCGAGCAAGGGTACTTCCTCATGTCAGGGACGAGAAGTCAAGATTATGTACATAGACGAACAGGCCGGCGACGACGACGACGACGACGAGGACGACGGGATAACGACGATGATGACGAGGATGATGAGATAATGACAGTGATATCCACAGCCAAGTAGAAGAGGCTGATGGTGGATGGCCGACGATGAGGAGACAGACAACGAGGAAGACGTGATATAGAGAGATGAGTACCTGGCTGCCTCCAGTAACTTCGTAGTACCTACTATACAACGCAGTGCCGCCTGCTAACTAACTGCCTGCTCGAGTTCAGTCGCAGCATCTGCAGCATCTAATTATTGCCACAGCACAGCCGAGAGTCAAGAGGCCAGCATGGAACTGTCGAACGCTGCAGCCCAGCAAGGAAGCAAAAGCCAAAAGGCTCTCTCTCGAACTCTACTTTCGCCTAACACCCAGCATGCGAGGACCCCCTGCATGAGGTACTTCGACACTAAGAGTAAGGAGACAGCGCAGGTATCTCGGGATGTTGGTTGGTCAGGCCAAAGACACACCACCATCACCTTCTTCCGCGTTGTTGACAGACGGGCACACCATAAACAAACCGCCAGTCTCTCAGGAGATGGCATGATCTTCATTTCTTCCCCCCTCCCCCCCCCCCGCTCACCCACCGATGTACACCTATTATTGTGCTCTCACTAAGTACTAACCGCCCGCCCGACCGACCAACCGACCAGCCGACCAAGTCAGCAAAAAGTCCAGTCCAGCCAACGGAGTTGAAACCACGGGTGTCGTGTCCACCCGTTTCTCCATGTTTCGACCAGAAAATGTACTTCTATACTTCCGGCGGGAGAGGCATACCGAAGTAAGTAACGTTCCCCCCCTCCTCCTCCCAAGCCCAAAGCCCAGAGCAAGAAAGATCCGAGCGAGCCCAAGATGAGGACGAGAGGAAAGGTTAGGTTGGGCTGGGCTGGTTGGTTGGTTGGTGGTGGTGGTGGTGGTTGGCGTGGGAGGGTTCGACAGCAGCATACATGCATGCATCATCCCTGTCGACAACTACTCTTGACTACGACACCCCTCGAGAAAGAGTGAAGAAAGAAGCAAAGAGACAGCCAGGCCACCCACACACGCACTCACACACACACACCCATGCAGTGTACACACTCACTTCAAAAAGTACTTCACTCTTACATAGTCTAGTGCTTGCATGCCTGTCCTCTTCTGGGGCGACATGACGCCAGCAAGGCCCGAACCACGGAAGGGCCTTCTTGTGCCATCGTCCGTATCTTTGCTTTTTCCCCCTTTCCCTTTTCACTTTTTACTTTTCTTCTCTGGAGAGGGCCGGGTTCTCCTATAAGTGGTTGGGCCCAAGCGATCTCCAGAGCCATCTTCACTCGGATTGGGGCTGGGGTAGGTTACCGATGGAGACACACCTGGAGAACTCTGGACACTTCTTACTCAGAACTGGAGCAAAAATAAGGAGTTATACGTAGGCTCTACCATCTACCAGTCTATCTGTCCTCTTCTGTCCCCCTCTTCACCTGACGAAGTCCATGTCCCGGCGCTGATGATGCCGATTGCTGATGACGCTTAATTGATATGGCACAGCATAACATAACCAACGCACATCAGCGGAGTCTCCGTCAATGTATACATGCACATCCAGTTCGATCATATCGAGCAGGACGGAGAGTAAAAGGGAAAGAAAAAAACAAAAAACGACAAAAAGAGCAGAGATGAAAAAGAAAAGAAAGGCGATAATATGCAGATGGGATGCAGAATGCATACTTCACCGCCTCATCTGGTCTTCTTCTTCATGCAGAGAACGACCTTGATAGGGAGAGGCAGAGAGGGTGGTTGGGAGTTCGACTTCAGGCCGTCCATCTACGACCTCTCCCTCTTTTCTTTGCTTCTTCGTCTCTTCTTCGACTGTGCAAGGGAAAGACAGGTTTATCTGTCTTGCTCTTCTCAATCATCTGGCTACTACTCTTTTGCCGTGCGACTTCAACTTTCTCTGGCGCTTTCCACGGTTTAACTGTTACTCGCCGGTCATGGTCACTCTCTCACAGTCCATCGTAAGACGGACGCCACGTCAACTCTCACCTCATTCCCTTACCATCTATTTAATAATAATGAATAATAATGTTAAATAGAGAGCAAAACACTATGGAGTACTTCATCCATGCACTCGTCGTGCCGCCGGAACTGAGCCTGCTCTTCTCCGACTCGTCCAGAAAAGGTACCCGAGTTACATACTTCCATCAACCTCTCGAACAGACCCTGCCAACAATTTCAATCCCGTCTCTTCCACTGCAGCCCGATTGGAGAGAGGGAGGGAGGGAGGATTGAGGGAAAAACTCTTGTTCGTCCCTTTTTATGTCGCGTCATGGCCTTGCGTTATGGTCCGTTTCATCTCGGTGCATATTAATAAAGCCAGGCATAACCATCCATTATTATTATTAGTTATATCGCTCAGTCCCAGGTGCTTACTCTGGCCTACTTAACCTCTCTTGTCCTGCAGCAGCAGACTCGGACTCGAGTAACAAACTAACCAGCCCATCCAGCCTGCTCTGTTTATCTCTCATCGTCGTTTGCAGTGACCTCTCTCGGTGCTGGTGCAGAGTACATAACTACTTACTCCGCACACTAACATGTAGTTAAAATGCCGCCGGCTTAGTACTACTAAGTGACCGCAGCAAGTGACTTTCCAGGCAGTCAAAAAAATTAATGCACTGCACGCAGTGGCTCGCTGGTTATTCCACTGGCTAGTGAGCAGTGGCTGGCGATGTGTCCGCTTGCTATTCATCATGTACGACGGGAATGACCTTTTTTGCCGCTCTGGTCTTTGTTTATCAAGGCCATTCATTAATTGATGCTGTCCAACGTGGCCGTACGAGATACATCCTCTCAGCATCGTCACTTTCTCGTCTCTGCTTTATTGTAACGACGTCACTACAAAAAAAAAGACCACCAGAGCAAGGTTCAAGTCAAGAAACGGCTTCTTCAGGATCATCCAGGCGCCTCGCGATGATACGGCCTGTGTTTTGCTTTTTTACCCCGGATTTCTCTATACGCACCCCCCTGTATCAGCCCATCAGCGCATCCACCCAAGCGTCCACCACCCGCCCTGCCCATGACGATGATGGCGTCAGCATGTTTCTGATTGTCTCTGCTTCCCTTCCCTTCCGTCGATGGGCTGACGATCCCTCATGCACGGAGTCTCGAGATGAAGAATAATAATTAACATCCAGCATTCGAACATCCACTTCGAAATCAATTCCATCTTTCAACTCCCAACATTGGCCTGGGAAAGGGAAAAAAAAAAAAAAAAAGCAAAGAACGGGACACGAGACGAGAGACGCCCGCGTGATACCTTGCTTTATTCGATGATTTACCTGGTTTTTGTTTGTACGCTGCACACAAGCTGGACTAGTTGCCATCGGGCCTCACTAGTCGAGTATTATTATTGATTTTGATTGCTTTCGGTCATTGCTATGTATCAACCTTGATCGCCAGAGACACCCGACGGGCGAGCGGCCGTGGCTTCACGCCGGCCTCTTAGTTAGTCGCTTCCAGAGGTACTCAGTACGTCAGAGGCTTGAAGCAGTGATGGCTTGATGGGCGTCTGCGAAGGCGCTTGAGCGGGACGAGGAGAGGGGGTGTCTTGCACTAGAGACAGACTATGTCGGCCTGGCGCTGGAGTCTGCTCGGTGATGACACTCGAGATACCCGGAAAGGGGTCTTTATACGCAATTCATTCAGTCACTCACTCACTCACTACGCTGCAGTGACGTAGTTGGCATTCTTTCATCCTGGCTTGGTGGGCTGGACATCCCCCGAGATATACCCTATGACTTACCATGGTGAGAGGTCGGAACAGAACTTCTTCTTCTCTGGCATAATATTTGACATCAAGGTCGTCCCTTCGTCAAGTTGTATATCCTCCTCTGCCTCTGCTTCTACGAAGTACTTCTCTGCATTTACTTCACTCAGTATTTGCCTCCCCCGCATTCCTCCATGCATGCCACATACTGCATGCATGCATCCATCGACTGGGCAACCTGTGAAACGGCGTCAACGCCATGAAAAGTGGACAAGAACAAGACTTATCCGCGTGCTTCCTGGGCCTTTTCTTACTTCTAACTCGTCGCAAAAATTGGCTCGGGTCGAGACTTAAGGTTCCGAGGGTCGCTGAAGTCTGCTGTGAAGTCTAGGATGAAGCCTATACCTACTATGAAGTCTACTATGAAGTATACTAGTATACTATGAAGTCTACCGTGGTGTGAGAGGGCTGTCTGTACGAAGAATCGGGGTGGTTGGCGGCTGGGCGTTGGAAAGACGAAGCTCAATTCTAAACTCAGTTGAAAGCTAGATAGCATGGATTATGTAGTTATACATTCATATTATATTCATGGTCATGGTCATGGTCATGGTCGTGTTCATGTTCACTCGTCATGGGCCAGCTCAGATAGACCATTCGTTCTTGTTATCCGCCGGGCTGATGAAAGGTTCATCAAGCTGCTTGATAGCATGCTCGCCGCATAGTATACTATCATCACCACCACATCATTAGCACAGCTTCCCCCAGCAAATAGTAGAAAAGAAATAAACTCACCAGGCTTCGGCAATCAAACCATCCAATTCTCTAATGATCTTCTCCCTCTTAGCGCCAATGCTAGTCCCCTTACTCATTTCAGCCTGTAAATCCCGGATGTGCTTCTTTTTCCCCGTCCCCGCGGCGTCCATCACCTTCTTGCCTAGACAGTCACTATGGAAAGCATGCTGGCATGGGAACACAAAGAACTGTCTGCTCAGCACTGGCAGCGAGCAGATCCAGCATTTCTCGCCGGGCTCGACGATCGCATAGCGGGATCCCAGCGCCGCGGTCTCAAGGCGAATTTGTTCCGCTACATGTGCGGAATTGTCCATTTCCTGACGGAGCGTGTCAATATGCCGCGAGTAGTCCTCTAGTGCGGTGCAGATTTCATCCTTGAAGTCATCTATTACCACGAAATCAGGGAAGAAGGGAATCAGGTCTTCGATGCGTAGCAATTCGCATCGGCGGAGGAATTCAATTGCCTCCTTGATCCCGATGCCGGGCTGATGGATCTTCTTTTCTGCCACGAGCAGCCAGAGCTTCTTGCGTAGTTTGTCGTTCCCTTCTGGCCTGTCGGCGACAAGGGCGGCTAGCTCGATGTCGTTGTGCTTAAGGGCCAGGGTGACGCCTTCTTGATACTGCCCCATCATGCTGTAAATGTGCACGCAGGACTGCACCCGTTTATGCTGGATGCATAGGCGTAATGCAAAGTCGGCGTCATAAGGGGGGGGAGAGGATGGTTGGGATTCAAGGTAGTGAAGTAGAGCGCCCTCGGATGTCGATGGGTGGGAGGCATAGATGGATATTAGGGTATTATGTACGGCGGCAGAAGGGTTGGGGTGGTTGGCAATGATGAAGTTCAGGTATCTCGTTGCTTGATTCTGGGACAGGGACGTCTTGGTGTCCTTATTGTAGGTGAGCAGGGCTGGAATGAGCTTCTGGGGGTCTAGGCCAGTCTGTCTCATCAGGATGTCCACAAACTCGCTGGCAGAGTATGTCATTAACACGCTGCTGTACTTGTAGAACACTTCCGGGTCGGTCTGCTTCTTCAGCACGTTCAGAGCCTCTGACCATTTCTCCCGTTGGACCCAGTACGACAGCACAAAGTTGTGGTCGTTGATTGTAGTTGCAAAGTACAGCAGCTCCTGTTCCCGCCCATGGCTGCCTATAATGTCATAGACTGTCCGCGGGTCCAGATCGGCCTTGTACTTGTTCACGAACTGCTGGAACTCAGAGCGTATGCTCTGGATATCGTCTTTGGCATCGTCCTCGTTGCCTCCCTCGACCAACTCGGCCTTGGTAGCAATGGTATCATCCAGAGAGTTCAGCTTCGACATGAAGACTTCAACCAGCCAGCTCGCTATCATCATTCTCTGCATAGTAGCCGACTTCTTGTATGTTGATAGCTGGGTGAGAAGATACTTCCTGAGAGCATCATGTTCTCCCTTGTCGATAAACGTGAGGCAAACCTCTTCAAAGCTTTTGCTACTTTTGCCCCAAACTGCAGCTGCTTCGAGGTACTGCCCCTTGCTGGCTAGGTGGTCACCCGAAGCAGTGGCTACGGCATCCTTTTGCGTGACGCCGTGGGCATAACGGAGTGCAGAGTCGAACTGCTGTTCTTTCAACAGGATCCTCCATACGTCCCTGTCCTCGTCATTGGCGGATATCTCATATATCTCCTGGCCGGTAAAGAGCCAGTAGGTGTTCATCTTTTGATCTGCAACCAGGCCGAGGGAGCTTTCGCCCGGCTCAAGCACTGCTTGATCGTATACAATCTCTCCATTTAACCGGTTGATCGCGACAATTCTCCCTTCAACCAGTGTAAGGATATGCCATTGTGTCATGGTCATCCCCTTGATAGGGTCCTGGATTAGCTTCCTGCCTCCCCTTGCTGATTCTGTAGCCGGCAAAATCGAGCGGGAAACCATCTTGGCCTTATCAAATATCCTGCTCCCTCCATCCTGGTTAGGAGCTGAATTGGGTACAGTACCATGCAGAACGCCCAGTGAAGAAAGCCAGGCAAAATGCTTTTCCTCTGCTCTGCCATCACTGTGCCCTTCTTCCAGGGGGTCCGGCTGCATGGCTAGAAGGGATGGTGCCGAGAGAGTAGCGCTGGTAAGTTCGTGAATAACGGGTGTCTCCTTGCGGAACAAGTCGATGTATATCGATCCTCCTCCTCCTCCATCTTTACCGTGTCTCCCTATCTTGCCCGTGAAATAGAATATCTTCCCGTTCGACGAGACGATGATTTGGCGGAGATCCTTCCTGCCACCCACAAAGTCCACCCAGACACCCGTCACCGCCAGGCTAGGCACCTTGTACACCGTGTTGACATATCTCTCGTCCCTGCGGTAGAACTCGGAGGAAGATTCGATGTATACTTCGTACAGATTCCCGTCCGTCGAGCCCACGAGAATCTCTCTAGTTGACGCAGTAGGTAAGGCCGGGTTCCAAGCAATGCACTCTATCATCACCCCCTTGAGGCGCGAGAGCAGTTTAGGTTGTCGGGACTGGGTGTGAAGATAGTAGTTCTCCCCCAGAGTAGTCGATATAATCAAGTGCGAGGCAGAAGGGTCCAAAAACATGCGGCGGATGACGCCTATCTCAGATGATTTCTTAGGCAGGTCGATATCTAAAGCCCAACGTCAGTACCACTAACAACAGCAACGGAAAGAATTAAAAGGCGTGATAAGAGCGCACCGTCAATATCTTCTGCGTTATTCAAGTCGATCCTTAGTATCCTACCCGTCGCAAGCGCCAGGATGAGCACATCGTTGGCTACCTGGGCTGCGACGAAGTCTGCGGCGATGGAGAACTTGAGCTGGACCTTCTTGACGCTGAAGATGGGCAGCGAGGACTCGGCCAGCTTGTCCAGGCTGCTGGCAGCTACATAGCCACTGGATCCGTCCAGCGCCATGGTGCGCAGTGAAGGGTGGTTTCGCTGTTATACCATCGCGGGTTGTCGAGTGGAAGCTGGAGCTGTTGTAGTTGTTAGTTGTCGTTGTCGTTGAAGTTGAAGTTGACGTTGAGGTTGAAGTTGAAGCTCCCAAAAGTGTTATTATTCTTCGCTCTAGTTAAACATCGTCAACGCCAAGCTGGGCCAGCCGTCAGTAGATACAGCATAGAAAGCAGAGACAGCGAGCTGGACGGCAGAGATGAGGGTATAACTGGGTGCTATCAGGCAAGGATGGCCATGTAGAGCTTCTGCTCTTCTTTACTCCCTGCCCTGCGCTGCTGTTTTCCTTGTTTTCCTTCTTCCATGTCGCAGCTAACCTGGAGAGACAGCACAGGCATCACCATCCACCACCATCCAACACGGCTCCAACACGGCTCTAACGCACATTATGAATAGACTACCAGGCAGTTGATACTGTTTTGCTGAGCAGGAACCTGCCAGTCGATGAACTGATGCAGCATCTTGCGGCCAGAGTGCTCCTCGGTCGGTTTACGCGGCGGAATACAGCCTACAACATTCCTATCAAGCTTAGAGATAACTATGAACAGCATCTACAACACAGCTAGGAGAAGAGAGCTGGAGCAGAAAAGACATCCGTGGGCCGTTTACCACTGCTCCATGGCCATGTCCGTTGGGCACGAGATGCTTGGACGATAGGCCCGGCGGAATAAACCGGTCATCGCTTCTTGTCCGCAAGGCTGCGAGCACGCAGCACTCCTGATGAAGGGAGAATGACCATGGCTGGCTAGTTCGTTATCTTGCTGCCAATCCTCTCCACTCTTGCCAGGGGAACGAACAGATGGCCCATCTCATTATGATTATGCCGGGTGGGTGTCTTACCATGTTTATGCACGGCAATGCGCAGGACCAGCAGCATCAAAAGAGCATCAAAAGGGCAACAGAAGAAAGAAAGCTCTCCTCCAGCAGACGGTGCACCATAACTGCCCTGTATACACTCCCTACATCGCGGCAGCCACCTTTCTCCTCCAGGCCCTGCCCGTAGACATCTATGTATATTGATATCGCCTGCCCGCCGGCCGCCGTAGCGCAGTCCCGCGGTGCCAGCCTGTAGCTAGCCAGTCCCAGCACTCCCCACCGCGCTGCCCTCTTTTCCTCTACCACTGCCACTGCTACTACTACCACTTCTATCTATCTTCATCCTCGCCGGCGCCCCAACTCCAACTCCAACTCCAACTCCAGCTTCAAAACCCTGTCACGTGACTAAATCCCCCAAAGGGCGAAGGTTTTTTGGCTGCGAAAGAAACGAAAAAGACGGCGAAACGACAGCAAGAAACGAAGAAAAAGAAGCAAAACGCCCGGGACGAAGTTCGCTGTCGCTGCTCGACCGCATCTCCCTCTCGCCCGCCGTCCTGACCTCTGCTGCGACGCCCATTGCCGTCCTGCCTCGCCCGCCTCGCTCCCTTCTGTCCTGCCCTGGCCTGGCCTAACCCTTTCGTCGCCCGTCTAGATCCCGCGACCCAGCAGCCAGCCAGCCAGCCAGCCAGCCAGCCAGCACGCCCATGGAGCGTGTCCTCTGAAGCAGAGACTGCCTGCCCCTTCGTTGCCAGCTCCAGAGCCACCACCGGACGGGCTGAATTGGCCCTCCAGCAGCTCCAGCAGCCATGACGGGAGCTCCGCCGTACTCCTCGCGCTCGCCGTCCCAGCAGGCTCGCTATCTCTCCTACTCGCCGTCGCGGGATCGCCCCTACGCTGGCTCTGACGCCTCTTCTTCCTACCAGCAGCAGCAGCAGCAGCAGCAGCAACAACAACAACAGCAGCAACAACAGCAGCAGCAGCAGCAGCAGCAGCATCCGCCTCGTACGCCGCCTGGCTTTGGTGCAGTGAGCAGGAGTCCGCACTACAACCAGCCTACGTCGCCCATGAACACCACTTTGCCGCCCTTGAACGGCGCGGAGCCTTCACCGGCCTACCACGCCAGCCATCCGGCCTCCAACCAGCCTGGATACTCCCTCCCGCGGCCGTACAGCAGCTCGCTGATGTCGAATTCAGCTCACTCCCCGACTCCGGGCATGTTCGGCCATACGCCTACCCACACGCGTCCGGGGAGCATGGGAGACACCGTCATGCACTCTCCCAAGCGCGAGCCTGATATCCCTCTCGACTCGCGCTCAGCAAATCCCGTCTACTCTTCTTCCTCCTCGCAGCCTCCCATGGCCCGCGAGGCAAGAGCTACGACTCCAAAGGAACAGGTCAGTTCAACTTTTTTTTATAAAAAAAAACCTTTTCACTTTTTTATATCTATCTATATATATATTTGCCCTTATACTGATGATACCCCTTATTAGAAACCTGCAAGAGCTACAGATCCCATGTCCTTTGCCAGTATTCTATCAGGCCCTGCAGAAGAACGCCCTCGGAAGGCTTCTGTCCCGCCGGTCAAGGCCAGTGAACCACCACCCCAGCCCGTAGCAACGCCTGCTCCCAAACCGGCCCCCAAACCAGCCTCTAAGCCCGAACCCAGGGTGCTAGAGTCTGATAAACGTCGCCGACATCACAACTACGACGCTACATATAGTGATATTGCGCCGAAGCCCGTTGCGAATGGCACGGCTTCCGCAAAATCGGCACCTCCTCTAGCCTCTGCGAAGCAATCTTCTTCGTCACACTCTCGGGGCGAGTCAAATAATGTCACCACTGCGCTGGAACGCTTAGACAATTTAGACAAGAGCGATCTCGAAGCTCCTGGGTTCGAAGATGAGTGGCAGCGATATATCATCAAGGGGAGGAAACGGGCTAGGGAGGCAGAGGCCCTGGATAACCAGAAGAGAAAGGTATGCACCCAATCACCCTCAACGTTATCTTTACATCGCCGTTGCTAATTTTTGTAAAACAGCGCCGTCGAGCCAACTTTTTGGGTAAACTGGCCCGTGTGTTCGAGAAGCAAGCCATTGCCGGCACCGAACGCTTTGCCCGGCTCCATGAAGCCGAAGTGATAGAAGAGGTCCAGCAGAAGGAGATAATGGATGAAAAAGAACGCAAGAAAGATATGCAGCGGAAACGGCGGCGTGAGAATACCGTTCGTGCCGAGATGGAGAAGATTCAGGCCGCGCAGAAGAAGGTCAGCAAGATGGAAGACGATGCCGAAAAGGAGAAACTACAACGTGAAATCGCTCGGTCTCGCAAGAAGATTAAGCACACCAAACATGTGCTCGAGACCGGATCTGCTCCCCAAGAGATCAGTGAAGTCGCTCCTCTGTCACCAAACCTCGAGGGTGGCACTACCGGTTCATTTCACACCCGTGACAAGCCTTCTCCTAATAAGAAGAGACCCAGCAAGGGAGGCTCTGCCGCTCGGCCAAAGAAGACCAAGGAGCAGAAACAGGCCGAGAAGGATGCCGCAGAGGCTGCCTATGCGGCCATGGAAGGTGAAGAACCGTCTGCCACCGCATCCAAGGACAAGAAGCCGGCCGCGAAAAAGGATGCCAAAGCTTCAAAGGAACCCACGCCCGCCCCTGTTGCGACTTTCGACACCAAGGGTTACGCCCAGCTATATGAACAGATCTGGAGGGATATGGCTCGCAAGGATATTCCCAAGGTTGCTCGTATGAAGACTACCTCGCTCAATATCCGACAGGAGAACTGCCGCAAAACGGCACAGCTCGCAAGTAAGCAGGCAAGGAAATGGCAAGATCGTACCAACCGCAGTACGAAGGATACCCAGGCCCGAGCCAAACGAACCATGCGTGAGATGATGTCCTTCTGGAAGCGGAACGAGCGTGAAGAGCGTGATCTGCGCCGGATGGCAGAGAAACAGGAACTCGAGCTCGCCAGAAAGGCAGACGCAGACCGTGAAGCCAACCGCCAGAAACGAAAACTCAACTTCCTCATCTCCCAAACCGAACTGTACTCCCATTTCATTGCCGGAAGATCAAAACCAACGAAGCTGAACAGTCTGGTGACACCGCTGCCGCTCCCGCCGTTGACAAGCCTGCCGACGGCGCAAAGGAACCCGACACCTCGCTCAACGTACCCGATGACCTCGGTGATCTCAGCGCAAAGGTTACCAACTTTGAGGATCTCGACTTTGACGCTGAAGATGATACTGCGTTGAGAGAGGCGGCCATGGCCAACGCACAGAATGCAGTCAAACAAGCCCAGGACCGCGCTAAGGCGTTCAATGAACAGGAGAACAAGATGGCTGCCTTTGACGAAGGTGAAATGAACTTCCAGAACCCTACAAGTTTGGGTGATGTCCAGGTTGCACAACCTAAGCTGCTTAACTGCCAGCTCAAGGAATACCAATTGAAGGGTCTCAATTGGCTGGTCAACCTCTACGAGCAGGGCATTAACGGTATCCTTGCCGACGAGATGGGTCTCGGAAAGACCGTACAGTCTATCTCCGTCATGGCGTATCTTGCTGAGGTCCACAATATCTGGGGTCCGTTCCTCGTTATTGCACCGGCTTCGACTCTTCACAATTGGCAGCAGGAAATCACCAAGTTCGTACCAGATATTAAAGTGCTTCCGTACTGGGGTTCGGCCAAAGATCGAAAGGTGCTGCGTAAATTCTGGGATCGCAAACACATCACTTACACCAAGCAATCCGAGTTCCATGTCCTGGTGACATCCTACCAACTCGTCGTTTTGGATGCCCAGTACTTCCAAAAGGTCAAATGGCAATACATGGTTCTTGATGAGGCTCAGGCTATTAAATCGTCACAGAGTTCAAGATGGAAGAATCTGCTTGGTTTCCACTGCAGAAACAGATTGTTGCTCACGGGTACACCTATCCAGAACAACATGCAGGAACTTTGGGCTCTTCTACATTTTATCATGCCTACTCTCTTTGATTCCCACGATGAGTTCAGCGAGTGGTTCTCCAAGGATATCGAAAGCCATGCTCAGAGTAATACCAAGCTGAATGAAGACCAACTTAAGCGACTACACATGATTCTCAAGCCGTTCATGCTTCGGCGTATCAAAAAGCATGTCCAGAAGGAACTCGGTGACAAGGTCGAGAAGGACGTCTTCTGTGACCTCACATACAGGCAGCGGGCGTACTATGCCAGCCTCCGAAATCGTGTCAGCATCATCGATCTTATTGAAAAGGCTGCCACGGGCGAAGAAGCAGACAGTACCACGCTGATGAACTTGGTCATGCAGTTCCGGAAAGTCTGCAACCATCCTGACCTGTTTGAGCGTGCCGACACTTCTTCACCTTACTCCATGTGTCATTTTGCTGAGTCCGCTTCCTTCGTCAGAGCGCAGCCATCAGTTCCCTATTCGACCCGTAGCTTGATAGACTATGATCTACCAAGTATGCTTTGCAGTTCCGCGGGACGACTCGACATTCCTGGGCCTAACAATAGCAAGGCAGGGTTTGATGATAAATACCTCTCGCATCTCATGAATGTGTGGTCACCGGAAAACATGCGGCACAGTCTAGGTGGAGACGATGCCTTCTCCTGGCTTCGGTTCACCGACCTGTCGATGGAAGAAGCACGTTCAATTTCTGAAAAGGGTGTCTTTGAGCGGGCGTTGGAGCGCCATGGTGTTGAGAATCGTCTGGCACGACTATCGATTGTTTATGACGATGATGAAACGAGCACGAATTCCCTTCTACCGCATTCGTTATTCAAAATCGTCGACCGTAACAGCCGATCTGAGCTCACCAAGCATGGCTCCTCTGGCTACCTACGCGAGCTATTCAACGTTACCCAGACAGTAATCGATAACCAAGGAATACTTGGTTTCGAGCCTTGCGGTAAATATGATGCGAACGCACCGCCAATAATGATATCATCCGCTTCATCTGTACCGGACTTAGAGGCTCAAAATACCTTCTTCAACGTCCGGGCTCGTCAAGCTTTGATTGGAACAACGACTCGAGGCCTCGATGAAGATATTCTGAATCACAAGGTCAACCCCTTACCTTACTCGTATCCACCAATGCTGCCCAAACCAGGCTCCACGAAACGAGGATATACCAATATTACCGTGCCGTCCATGAGACGCTTTGTCACTGATTCCGGCAAACTAGCGAAACTGGACGAGCTACTTCGGGAGCTGAAGAACGGTGGCCACCGTGTACTACTCTACTTCCAAATGACCCGCATGATCGACCTGATGGAAGAGTATCTCACATACCGCAACTACAAATACTGCCGACTAGACGGTAGTACCAAGCTAGAAGACCGTCGAGACACCGTCTTGGATTTCCAGCAACGGCCCGAGATATTCATCTTCCTCCTCTCCACCCGTGCCGGTGGTTTAGGTATCAACCTGACAGCAGCCGACACCGTCATCTTCTACGATTCCGACTGGAACCCAACCATAGACTCGCAGGCTATGGACAGAGCTCATCGTCTCGGCCAAACAAGACAAGTCACAGTCTATCGTCTAATCACCCGTGGAACCATCGAGGAAAGAATACGCAAGCGAGCTCTTCAGAAGGAAGAAGTGCAGCGTGTCGTTATATCCGGTGGTGCAGGTGGCGGCGTTGATTTCAACACCCGAAGCCGTGAGAACCGTACCAAGGATATCGCTATGTGGCTTGCAGACGACGATGAAGCAAAGATCCTGGAACAAAAGGAGAAAGAAGCTCTTGAGAAGGGTGAAGAGGCCGCTGCCGCTCCCAAGAAGGGTAGAAAGGCTGCTCCCAAAAAGAAGCGAGACGTCACGCTGGATGATATGTATCATGAAGGTATGCATTTACACCCATACTCTACACTCTACACGGTTACTTACAATGCAATATAGGTGAGGGTCACTTCGACGATCTAAGTGCCAGACCTTCCGGCGCCGCAACACCCTTATCTGCAGACGTCGAAGCACCTGCTGCAGGCCCATCAGGCAAAGGTGGTCGCCGCCGTGCTCCTGCAAAAGGCACCTCCAAAAGAGCAAAAACCGCCAAAGAGCGTCTCCAATTCATCGATGGTGACGACTAACTAATGTAAAAAGAAAATAAAAAAAACAACCATGCATCCAACCTCGCGAGCAAGAAAACAAAAGTGGTTTTCCATGTCTCCCGCTCTTTCGTTCCATACATGTATTTTTTTCGCCTCTCCTTAGAATCCTTACTTTGCCATTGCCTTACTACTCACTCGATTTATATCCGTCTCCTCCAACCATCCTCCTCCCCCTTTCCCCATGTGCTTTTAAGGTATACTCTGTGTTTTTTTGTGTCTAGCTTATGTCTTTCTTCCGCTGTTAAACTAGGTAGCTCGATAGTTGGGATTTCTGTGGCCTGATTGACTCGTGAGGTGGGAGTTTTCAGGAGGAAGGGTGATATACGTATTAATATATTGGGAGATGATGCATTATTGATGTTTCTTTTTGGTTTCTTTTACATGATTATATCACGGAGATCACTCACTACGTGTTCACGCTGTAAGCTATCGAGGCTTAATAGGGAGTTGGCAGGCGAGAAAAACTGACTGTATAATTTCTAATGGGAACAATGTTGATGAAAGAAATGATGAAAGCACGATAATTTATGAGAATGTTATTTGGCCCTGCAACACCGTAGCAAAAGGCGAGTAAGACATGAAAGATCTATGAATACCGGAAAGCAAAGCCAGGTAAGTAGGCTGATGGTAGATATAACGAAAAGGTAAAAGTACAAGACCTAAAGTAATGTGAAAGACAAGAGGAAACAGTATAAAAACATGGTCATAGTGATAACTGTCAGGTGCAATTAATCAATCATTCATACAGCATCATACAGCATCAGGTCCCTTTCGCCCAGATCCAGATGGAGATCCAGAGCCGGATCCCTGGTCGAGAAGCAACTTTGGTTTGATGTATTCGTCGTCAAGATGTTTAAACCACGTAGCATGGTCACGGTTGCCACTCAGCAAATCACGGAATGCATCAGTAGCAGCTGCAATAGGTCGGGATGAAGATGACGTTTCTGCTTGAGCAGTGTTAGCGTATGGTCCATCCCCGGGGGTATGAGCCGATGCTGATCGGGGTTGGGAATGGTTGCGAGAACGTTGGGCCTGTGAGGCTGCAGGAGGCAAGTCATCATCAGAGAATGCGGCATCGACTTCAAGGTCGAAGTCGTCGAGATTCATACCCATGTCGCCTGTTCCTCTGGCGTTTCGTCCAGCACGGCTTCTGTCATGGCTCATATCTATATCAACGCTGCTACCGCTGTGGCTCCCACTTCGGCCTCCAAGCAACTCTTGAGTCGAAGCTCCATCTCGAGATCGAGTACGATCTATTCTGGAGTATGAAGATTTCTTCCTCGTGAGGCCACCGGGCCCTTCAGGAGCCTGGGGAGTTAGCCGTCCATTGCTACCGCTCGAGAAGCCATGACCAGTCCGATTGATCTCGTGTTCTCTTGCCACAGAATCTAGCTGGAAATCGCTTCTGCGTGGGGTATGTCCCATTCCAGTTCCCGATCGCTTGTAGTATGTGCCACCATTCGTGACTTCGATATCAAATTCATCGTCGGAATCAATTTCCTCCACGACTCCAGTACGGATATCCAGAATCTCAAGCATTCTAGCGGTTGTACCTCCAAATATAATGACGGTCAAGACGACAACAACTAGAACTGTTGCACGCAAAGCTGGAGCATTTGTTCCCTCCAGTCCAGCAGCCAACGCGACACCGACTGCTCCTCGTAAGCCTGCCCAGAAAAGCATAGCTTGGTATGGATAAGGCAGTTCATCAGCAACATCCCTACCCCGACTGGCAGCTCTATACCGAATAACCCAGTTTATGGCCTGGGATAATGGGAACACAGATAGGTATCTGGCTACACATATTCCCACGACTGACACCATAATGGAGAGGGGTTTGAATTGCAGGTTCTCATCCGTGAAAAGGTCCAACCCTAGGTAAATGAATATAAAGTTCTCGGAGAGTTGCGCCATAGTTTGGAATATGTACTTGGTCGTAAGTTGGGTTCGACGAGACATGTTGTAGTAGGCGTAGTGTTTTAAGGTCATTCCACAAAATAGTAGTGACACGATACCTGGAACAGAAACGTCAGTAAAGCTAAGTAGGTCTAAGATGAAAAGCAGGGATCCATACCAGACATCTTGATTCCAGTCGAGAAAAAGTAACAGGCATAAGCAATCAAAAGAATGAGGCAGCTCTCAATCTTTGGATCACGACGCACATGGGTATATTTTAGTCCCAACGCAGTGCCTATTCCGAAGATCACTCCAATAAGGAGACTTCCAAAGAAAACAATCAAGAAAATGCCAATAGCCTCGAACAAACTGAGGACTGTAAGCGATCCTGCTGCGCTGCCTGGCTTGTATCTCTGCGCCGTCTCGAACAAAACAATTGCAATTGCATCGTTAAGAATAGACTCTCCAAATATAACCGTGTACAGCTTCGGCTCGACTTTGTAGACGTTGAATATTGCAAGAATGGTGACAGGATCAGTCGCTGAGAGTGTGGCTCCGACGGAAAATGCCTCGACGAAGGAGATATCTAGTCCCTCAATAGGAATTCTTGTCCAAAGGAATAAGACGAGACCCAGGACTAATGCAGAGATGAATGTACCGGCGAAGGCGAAGGTAAGAATACTGCCAATATTTCGGAAGAAGTTACCCTGTGTTTAAAGAAGCCGGTCAGCAATTCCGCGCCCTTACCGCTGAGGCCACTAGAGGGCGAAATGCCCTACCTGATGTAACTCATAGCCCGATGCTAATATAATAGGGGGTAGAAGAAGGTTGAAGAAGAACTGGTAGTCAAAGCTGACTGACTTCTGGATCAATGTTCCGGGCGTAAATCTAATGACCAAACCAACAACCATTCCTAGAAGCTGTGTTAGCATGCCAATAACATCTGTGCCGAACCTCTTAACACGGAGGCAGGGAAGACCTTACCGCCAAATATAGACAAAACCGTTTCATGTACCGCTTGAATGCGCTTCTGCTTGAGCAAGTAGCTGGTGAACAGGGCGGTAATCAACAGCACAATCAGGATGAAGAGAGCCCAGGAAGTCCAGAACTCCCGTTCTCCAGCTTCCGGAGAGTCTGCAATAATCCGTCAGAGTAAATCATTCGTTCCCTTGTAGTTTCAATGTGCACAAAAGCTCGAGTTTGCTTCTTTTATCGGGCTGGGTTGGCGAGTGGCACTTTAGGTCGGCTGCATACCATCAGGGTCTTCTTCCTCCTCCCTCTTCCCTACAGAAACAACCAGTCAGCCAAGTACTTCTTGATGGTCTACCCCATTGCAGAGAGGAGACTGCTCACTTAAAACCTTTAATATAACCCCGCCTAGAAAATTGGCCGCCATGGTGCTTGATGACGATGGGGCAACAGGCCGCCGGATTTCAGATGGGAGGGTACGGGCGCGACTGGGTAAGTCGATTAGGAAGGCAGGCTGCGCTCATAGTCTCCAGGGAGAGCTTCTACCGGTAACGGATAAGGGGGCAAACGACGCTGCTGGAGGAGAAGGGCTTCTGATATCGCACTGCTTGGAGTTGTTTATTCTTCCTTCTATGAATCGCCCGAATCGGGCCAAGTCGACCCCAAGTCACGTGCATCGGGGTCATCCGCCGGAAGTTCAATTTCAACCTCGAGAGCGGCAGCGAGCAAACACCAGAACATCGACGCCGAGATGTCGAGATATCATAACCACGGACGGTATTCGATGGCAGTTACCTGGTTGTTCTAGCTAGGATGCAATAAGCTGGCTAGCTGTTGCTTTCTTGAGAACTGCAAACTTCGTTTGAGACTTGTTCGACGGCCGTTTTGTCTATTGAACAACAACCACCTAAGTGCTTGCTAAATGGTACTCTTCGGGAGAATAGTACGTTCAAAAACACCAGGGTGTTATTCTCTTATTCGTCTGTGTATCTTAAGCCACTCTCTCCTACTACTACAAAATTCTTAATACTACCTGGTTGACCTTAAGGGGGGCTGGGTATTCTATATAAAAAGGAGAAGGAAGCGGAAGTAGAAGATCTATATATATAAGAGATAAGTAAAATAAGATAGAGTAAAATGTACTTTAAGGTATATATATATCAAATAGAGAGTAATGTTTGAGGTTTCATGCAACAACCAAGCAGCCGGTGCGCTAATGGGAATATATTCTGAAGACGATAGATCATAGATGCCATTTTGGGGATGTCTTCTTCTCCTGTTAATCACTGAGTTATAGGTAGATGTGTAAGGCGGTTAATGGGAAGAATTGTGGTTCCCATTACTGTCATTGATATTCGTGGACTTTCTTGTTGGTTGACTGTGACAGAGGGGTTCCTTTCCCCGAACCCACGTCAACTCCATGCCTTGCATTGTGCCATGTTGCTACTAAAGCACGGCCAAAAGTAACTGTCGTTTGGTCGGGTGGCTTTGTATAGCGAGGTGGCAAGTCCCTATCCACGGTTCTGCTGGACGTCCCTGCGAAGGACGTCGTCTCCCGCCAGACACATATATCCCTTTCTTCAAGGGCTTCCTCCCAGTCATCCGCTTAGTTCATGGACTTGTAGTTTTCCTCATGTCTTAGGCAAGCCTTCCAGAGTTTCCCTTTAGGGGATTTGGTTAAATTGTTTGCCTGTCAAATATAACTTTCAACCTGTTGACCACAAGTGTAGGCTCGCTCTTTGGCTCGGTTGTTTGATAGTAGCAGTGTCTTTGCAGTCTTGTGCCTGTACTTGAACAAGAGTATTCATGTTTCTGGGAATTCAGCAATGATCATATGGTGGTAGCCGGAGAGTTGGAGGTTTAGGCCAAAGCCCCCGATCTGATGAGTGGTAATTAGCGCCTTGAGTCCTCAGTATTATCAACCAGCTGATGAAGTAAACATGCTATGTATCGGAGGGAGGGAGATGAATTTAGTAGTTCAAGCACATAGTCAACTCGGGAACGTGGTACTGTGTATTGAAAATCCTTGAATGGGTGAGTGTATTTCAAGAATGTATCCAGCCCTGTGTATGGCCGGGCAAGAAGCTTATTTAACCCACCACTCAACGTCTTCG